GGCAGGTGAACTGGAGGCTTTCCAAGCAAATTGTTTTTTCCTTCTCCTCTTCCCCTTTTTAAAACCCAACGGTGTCGAGGTATTTGTTTGTTTTTTGACTTAAATTGTCTCTGTGTTAATCTTTTTTAATATATGATTAACTGATCTATTTATTTTCATCTCGTATTTCTTTTATGAGAACATCGAGCTCTCATCTTCGATCAGGTTCCAGCAACCCCTGGCTGAGTTTTCCCGGAGCAATTATCTTTGATTCTTTGCATAGCAAAGTGGCTCCTGAGCTTTTGTTTTTGTATTATTGAGTTATTGAGTATTATTCAGTTTTTGAGCATAACAAAATAATATTTCTAGTACTGAGAAGTTTGATTAGGTTAAAGCTTAAACACCGCATTCGAGGCGAATGGATACAAAAAGAGAGAGATCGATAGATCAGTGAACGAATTAAAAACACAAGAGAGAACGACACACTATCTCTTTAGCATATCTACCATATGATCCAACTTTCACGGATCAAATTGGCAGAGAGGCGACATCAAAACCATCTCTAAACCCACGAAGAAGATTCAGCAGACCATAAGATCAGATAAGAATAAAAGGGGCCCCCTCTCATCAGCAGGGGTCTACAGCATATCATGTTTATGGTTATATATTCAACCAGATCAGAATCAAAGAATTTCGTAATAGATAAATTCTAGGTAAATGGAAAGTGCCCCTCACACAAAACACAGCAGTAAGAATACTATGATCAGTCAACTTCATGGGGCGCTCCCTCACCAGGCCCCCGAAGAACTCTTCATTTTAAAACTGGTCGGCATTAACTCATTATTCCCAGAAAGATCTATAAATCACCAAAATGTTCGAATGGTTGTCGGCACAGGGGCATCCAACACTATTGTGCGATCTGGTCTGGTATCGGAATGGCGAATTTGACCTTTCACGAGAAGACTGATCTTGACTGCATCTACGGGAGAGACGAAGCTTGCCGCCTACAAGGTGTCCACAGACGAAGATCGAGCACTATCGAATCACCCCGAGAGTATTGTAAGGGACAGAATAGACGACATCTGCGGATTAGTGTGAGTAGTCGAGCCGAATAATGAAGACTTAAGACAGAAAACATTATTGATGGGATGTGCACTCGTAAGAAGTAGAACATCATCAAAACCTGTTACAATAGTCAATTTTAAAGACTTCGAGCAAAACGTCCGTAAAGGTACAGAGTTAGGGGTATTGAAACCATTACGTGAAATCCGCCACTGCAACTGAGAAGAAGAACCTGAGACCAACAGATATCACTTCCTGCAAGTTTAACAGAAGTAGTCAAACGGTCAAATCGACGTCTCAAGTCAAACAATTGCAGGTCTTCGCCGTCTCAAATCAAGATTTCGGTAGGACCAATTTCACAAACCACCGTATCATAGCGAGACAGCAAGGCTACTGATTGTGGTTGAAACCCTCGAACATTTCCGCAAGTACCTGCATCGACGAAAGTTCCTCTTAGGAATTAATCTAAAACCAGAGGAACGACGAAGATATTGACCCAATAATGAAATAGAAAGAAATCGGAACCTCAAGACAGATGTGAGTCACTGAAGAAGGTCACTGAGCAAATTAGCACTACTAAAACAAGGATCCACAGCCTGATGGAATGTTTGAATGATTAACACTCTAGAGACCAACGTAAGAAGCTTCGTTAACGAGCTCCAAATGGACTGGGATTGACACATACCGTCATTTCTCTCAGTTTGTAAGTCCACCATCCATGGGACAACTAGATTAACACCGGCCAGAATAATATTTGGGAAAGAACTCAGCCTGCCAGCAGACGTAATGTTGGTCGTTCCAGAGATTTTCAAGTCTCTACAGACGAATACATTCGCAAACTACAAATGTGTAGCTATATAATCCATCAAGGCGAAAAGGACGTTGTCCGAAACTACAATAAGCTTAGGATGGCCCATGTACCGTCACTCAACGCATCAACGACGCTGTCTATCGAATTCAGAAGGAACTTCTGGCAAAAATGGCGGTCGTTTATCTTGACCGGCTTGCTACTTTGCTAAGCAACATCACTGAAGGAGACGATTAGTATTAAGAGCGGAGTGTCATATGTACGTAGGCAACGAACATACATAGTGACAGAGAAGGCCATACTTTATAGTCATTATATTTACTGGCGGCGCATGTCGGACATTTCCTGGACCAGGACCGATCAAATCACACGCGTACCTTCCCTAGAGCCTTCATAACGCCGAAATGCTTCTAACGCTTCTGAAATTCTACTCTTCGGAAGTACCAATTGGAGTTTGTTACTGTTTCCATTTGGACTCTCCCACATTCTCTTCAAAATGCCATGGTCTAAGACAAGAAAATTTCATTGGACTCAATAACTTTTCGTTATCTGGCTTAGATTACTCAAATCTGTCCACAATAATCTTGAGGTTCCGGCTTATTTCTCTCTCATTATAGAGTCAATATCTTCGTCCTTCCCCTGGTCTTCGACTAATTCCTTATCTTTCCAGAATCCCTCAGGCTGAACGGAGGTTAGATTACAGTGGGTCGATGTCAATTCTTCTTTGTTCTCCGCAGATAAGCAGTTTGCACTTTCCCACGCATGGTGTCCGTGATAGTGTATTTGTGTTGTCATATCGTTTACCTGAACGATACTCGATGTCAAACTCTTATTTTTGAAGTCGTTGTAGCCATCATGCGATTTATTGTTTTGGGTTCTTTAATTGCAATATCCACATCAACGAAACGGGATACGTTCTTAAGAGGAATTTCCGTCCATACAGGTACTTGTGGGAATGTTCAAGGATTTTAATCACAGCCAGTAGCACTCGACGAATTAGACAATAATTTTTTTCTTGTTTCGAGAGTGTTTTACTAAAATACCCGGTGACCTCTTCCTTTCTGTTTTGTACTTGGGATAGCACACCACCAAGCCCCACATTACAGTCTTCTCCTTCTCCTGCAGATGCACATCCACTTGCCAGAATCCACTTTTCAAATCGAATGTAGATCACCATTTAGTTCCAGCTAGACTGTCTAGTGCGTCGTCAATTCGGGGTAATAGGTAGCTGTCCTTCTGTGTTACATCGTACAGTTTCCTGTAGTCCACGCAAAATCTCGTGAAATAAATGCTTCTTACGTATCAACATTATAGATGAAGCCCAAGAACTTTGAGATGGTTTTATCACTTGTTTATGCATATCGTTTATTAATCATTGATTTCATCTTGCTTCCCCAAGCAACTCCTCAATGTGGAATTTTTGATGGGCCTTGCTGTTCCAGTATTGATGCGGCCATATGTTAAATTAGCCCTACCAAAGCCTTGATCTGAGAGGGCGGGGCCTTATTGAAAACGGCTAAGGAATTTTTTTAATAGCTTGAACTGGTGCTTGTTGTTGTTGAGATGGTTATTTGGCCGTTTCACCAGTTAAAGTTACAGGGAGTGATGTCTGTTTGGTATCAGGTTCTACTTCCGCTACTGAATACTCAAATACTCTCAACTCAACTTTATGCCTTTGCAGATTTTTTGCTTGAAGTCTTTCAAACTGGCTATTCTAACAGGTATCGATGATCCTCCACTTCTTACGAGCGTACGTCCCACTAATAATGCCGCCTGTCTCAAGTCTTGATTGTCCGGTTCGACTACCCACACTAATCGTTTATTCTGACTCTTACGGTCACCTTATAGGCGGCAAACTTCGTCTTGGGATTTGACATTACTATTTCCTGTCTATCGATGAGCATGGCAGAAGTGCTATGATTTAAGTCGATTCCATGTTCTTGAAGAAGGTCTAATCCAATGGTGATATCATCTAGTATGTCGACCAACTATACCCAACTGTTTACGATCGCATTTCCAATTCTAATTTCGACGTTGCATTCTTATTGAATTGGTGAAGTCTCCCCGGTAAGTGTAGTTAATATCAGTCTTCTAGCCAATGGTCGAATTCGTCTATTCGATACCACATCAGGTCGATCAATAATGTTGGACGCCCCTGTGTCTAGAACCATTCTAACATTATGCTGATTTATGGATACCTTAAATAATGAGTTAGTTTTGTCCAGTTATGAAATGATGAGTTCTTCGGGGCCTTGGTAATGGTGAGATAATTTGCACCCCACAAAGTGTTTTGCTGGAAGAGCACTAAGGTGGTTCATTTTTCTACAATTCCAGCATTTTGGACGACCACTGTAGTTCTTGGAGTCTCGAGCAAAATGACCAGTTGTTTCACATTCCTAACATTTTAGGCTCTATTCTCCCGTGTTTCTAGCAGTGGCTTTCTTCACATCGATTACGCAGACCTGGTGAGCGACGTAACACCTTCCTTTGTAATTGTACTGTCGTCAATTTTTGCTTGTTACACTCGTATATACCTTTAAAAGCTTGTTTCGCCTCTTCAAATTCCAAAGCTTGCGAGTACTCCACTTGGAGAATCTAAGAATTTACTGTAGGTCACCATCCCTGACTCCGTCGGTAAATATTTCTACTGTCAATTGGTCTATGGAATTTTAAGAACGAGAGGTGTAGACTAATTTCACGAAGCGCTGCACATCAGACTCAAATTTTTGAAGTTTCATTATTTCTTTGATCACGGCTTGCAGTTGCATGTGATTTATTTGTTGTAGATATTTATCGCCATACCTCATTTCTAGGTTGTTGACAAAATAATGGAAGTCATATCGTTGAGACTCGGGCATTCCTTGGACTATATCCAGCGCCTCTTATCATAAAGAAATTATTAGTGTTGTTGCTTCTTCTGAATCAGTCCATGCGTTTGTCTCTACCGCTGCTTCAAACTGCTTCAGGCAAACAGATCACAAGATGTTCCTATTGAAAGTTGGAGCTGCAATCTTTGCTGGTCTTGCACCGTAATCGTTAAGCCTCGCAGTAGAGGGTAATTTAAGCTTTTTAATCTCGCCTCTCATTTGTTCTCTCATTTCTTCTGTCTTCCTTTCGAACTAGATTTCCCTTTCTTCTGTCTTCTTTTTGATCTTGATTTCCCTTTCTTCTATCTTCTTTTCCATTTCATGTCTAATATCATTTATATTTTCTGTCATTTTTTCTTGTCCTTTTTTAATTTTTTTTGTCATTTCTGCCATCATTGTCATTAATGCCTTTATTTGTTCCTCCATTTTTGCTTCAGTACATCTGATTATAACAGGCACGAAATATCCCAATTTCTTCCAGAATACTTTATGAAATTCTTCGATTCTGGCAAAAATCGTTTTTTTTTTCTTCGCGAACTCCAATAATGTATGATTTTTTTCTAGGGTTATTCGCGATCTGTGGAAAGTTCCAGAAAATTCATTGAAATTTTTCGATAACGTCGAATTCGTTCTTCTCTCTTCGGGAGCTTTCCAACGATGCATGGTTTGTTGAGGTAAGTCACGATTGGTAGAAACTTCTAGAAACTTCGATAGAAGTTTGCAATAACGTTGGATCTGTTCTTCTTTCTTCAAGAGCTTCTTTAACGATGTATGACTCGGTGAAATTCTTCAATGACGTCAGTTTCTTTCTTTTCTCTTCGAGAGCTTTCCAATAACTTATCACTTGCTAAGGTTTCTTGCAGGGGATGGAAACTTGACTGATGGAACGCTCTGGAATATTCGATGGGATTCTTCAAAAATCCTCCGCCTTCTAAATTCTCTTCAGTTTTCTTTTATCCCACTTCTGACACCAAACGTCAGGAAATCAAACATCTTGCACTATTACTACTTTTATTTATTTGCTTTCTAAGTAACACTTCTATTAACAATTAATCACTATTTCACCACTATTTTGCACACTTTGTCGCTTCTTTGCTCTTTCTACTTCTCTTTGTATCGCCATGTAACTCCAACTCAAGATCTCAAGGAAACTATTTATAGAGGCTGACCATATTTTAGAATGATCTAGAATACCACAATATTTCTTTCAGGTAAGCAATCCATTGTAATATTTAGGTTTTAAATTACTTGCAGATATGCTTTCAATCCGTTGTTTGTGTTTTAAGTATATTATTATCGAAAATAGTTTCTTTTTATTTTCATGTTACCATTATCCTCAAATACGCATGTAATTGTTTAGTTTAGAAATTAGCCTTATTCTAATTTTACCATTGTTATATATATATTTCACAGTTCCAAATTACAGTGTTATTAAAATTGTATTATTGTGAATTTTCTTTGTTCAGGTTCCTTTTGTCCCTTTGCATGGTCACGTCAACTTAATGTCTTTACCTATGTTGTCGCCGTTCAACCCTGTATAATTTGAACTTAAATGACTATTTGCCAAACCCACATAGGTGTAAAACCAATCACAAATAGATCGGATTCAGCAGTCTTCAGATTCATCGTATTCAAGCGCTTTTACCTATCATAATCTACGCTTTTTATTGGGGTATGTATTGGTCAATTAGTGTTAAGCGTTAATTACTAAATATCTCAAATCACAGTTTCTTTCGTTTTTTATGCATTAATAATTTACTTACTGTTCATTTAGCATATAACGTGAGAATACAAGAAAGAACCCTTCAAATACTATTATTTTTTTCTTACAACTAAACAACAGGTTAGACAGCATTCAAATACAAATTTGATTATATTTAAAAAATGACACGAACTACCCATTTCAAATCATTCAAATAGCTGTAATTTTGAGACCACCCTCACTCCTTTTGTAGATCAGAACGTTTGAGGATTCTGGCGATAAGACGCAAACAGTAGTTAAAAATGAAGTACCTAACTTCTTTCAAGATCTATTTATACTTACACTTCTAATTACCCCGTTTGTGGGTCAGCAGGTGAACTGGAGGCTTTCCAAGCAAATTGTTTTTTTAGAAAATGCTGCATCACAGCTAAATGGTCTCTAATAATTCTCCATTCAGAATCATTTCGGTCGATTAAAGTCATGGTCTAATGATCTATTAGGCAAACGTTAAAAGAAATATTCCTACACGTTGCGCCAAACATCTAAAAGTGGTTATTTTGCAATTGAACGGTGTTCTTTCTTAAAAATTTGGTATTAAACGCACTACTATTTTTTCAAACTGATTCAGAATACTTTGAAATCAAATATATACTTTGTTCCATAAAGTTATACCCAGTTTTGAAAAAAAATACTTCAAAAAAGAAATATTCGCTGGAGAATAAAATATTAATTAATAGATGATACATACACCATACATTCAATTACTCAACTACGATGTTAAATTTTGGTAGGTACTTTTATATAAGGTATACTACACATAACTGTAAATCATCATCATCATAAGGTGGTCAGTCTTAAGAATGGTTGGACACGTACCTCCACTCTTTCCTATCTTGAGCTAATCTTCGCATTTCCCTAAAACTAGAACAACCCACATCCTTAACCATGTGCGAACAGTAATCTAACCTAGGTCTACCTCTACCCCTCCTAACTACTGTTTCTGCCTCTAATATGTCTCTGTCTAGACCTTCATGCCTAGGAAGGTGTCCTACCAACCTATCTCGCCTATTTTTATTGACTTCCATAGAGTCCTCTGTTCTCCTATTCTTTCTAACACCTCTTCATTATCCTCATCATTCGCCTATAACACCATATTTTGAAGGCTTCTAACCTTTTCTTTTCCGCCGCGCCCACTGTCCATGTTTCGCACCCGTACAACGCCGCGCTCCAAACATACACCTTTAACAATCTTTTTCGAATTTCTAAATTAACCGTTCGCGAGCATAGAAGTGACTTTTTTTTTATTAAGACGACACGACCCTGCGCTATCCTCTGCTTTATATCCCTACTACTCCTTCCGTCCTGATTTATCTGACTTCCTAGATATCTAAAATCAGCCACTTCTTCTAATTTTTCGTCTCCTATCTTTATATTCGCACTTTCCCTACTTTTTCTTCCCTTGCATACCAGTATTTTAGTTTTACTTTTACTGATCTGTCAGTACTGCTTCCACTTTATTTAAATCTATCTCTAGGTCCACCTTGCTAGATGCTAATACTGCTGAAATCTAAGCATACTAATTTTTTGCCCCTATATATCTATCCCTATAGTTGTACTGTCTTTAATGATGTTGATCGTGTCTTCGATGTATAGATTAAAAAGTAGCGGTGACAGTGTGCATCCCTGCCTGACTCTCTTCCTAATATTTACTTCTCTACGTTGCATCCCTAGCTCTATAACTGCTTGTTGCTCTTTACACAAACTAAGTATCACTCTTCTATCTTTGTAACTCATCCCTAGATGTTTATAAAGTAAAGTATATTTAACATCTTGTCCCACTTAACATTGTCAAAAGCTTTTTCTAAATCTACAAATCCTAACTGTAAATAAGAAGTAAATAAAATAATCCCATTTCTGGCACTTTTGCGGCACATCTCCTTTATTCTTAAAGATAGACGGTTCCGATGTTTTCTGCTAGTCTGCTAATTTTTGTGAAATTAAATATGACGCCAGAAGAATTTTAGGTACCTAAAACTCAATTTATAAGAATACGTTTTAACTTCTTCGATAAGTTTAAAGATAACTGAGATGCGGAGGGGGTGCCTCAAAAGTTATACTTTTTAATCCGTAAAAGTGCCAAAAATTGAATACCCTGTAGGTTTGTTTTTTAATAAAACTACAAATGACAATTTATTATATTTTTTTGTATCAAATCAAACACATCTTTAAATATAAAATAATTAATCCATGCATGCAATAACAGTGATACTATATCGGTCTCTGAAAACAAAAACCTATAATATTAGTAGTAAGTAGGTTACTTGAGGACACAAGGGGACGAAACGCAGTATGTATTTCTTATGGCGGGATGTTTCCTTCTTCAGGGTTTTATCCCCACTTCTATTCAGTTGACAGCCGTCGTGTCCTCGCTTTCTATTGGTTGATGTCGCCGTGAAGCCCCGCCCCCTTCACAGCCACCACTTGTGCGTCATTCTTCGCCTAACCGTCGTAGAGGTACGATCGGAGCAGCCAGCAGTGTAGTCGAGTACGAGAGTACAATTCTAACGCACTGAGCCTCTCTCTCTCCCTCTCTCTCGCTCTCTGTTTCTCTCTC